TGTAATAACTAGTTCTCCAATACCAGTGGGGTGTCCTGCAATTTAATTCAGCCTGACACTATGTATTTGGAGTTAGTGTCAGAATCCATAAGTTAAGGGCTCATACCCACAAGACCCACCCTACTTCACAAGTCAGTCTCAAGTTCCAGGCATCCTGTACTTCTGACTAACCAGCAATAAATCTGGAGTCCTCATGGCCCCCTGCTTGGCTTAATTATTTGTTAGAATGGCTCACATAACTCAGAAAAACAGTTTACAGTCACCAGTTTGTTATAAAGCATACAACTCAGGAAAAGCCAAATGGAAGCAATGCATTGGGCACAGAGTGTGGTTGTGGTGGTGGGGGGGGGGGCAGGGTAGTGCAGAGTCAGGACACCCTACTCCTAGCATTTCCAAGTGCCACACTCATTCTTTAGGAGGTCTGTAGAGGTTTCATTATGTGTTATGTATGCATGATTGATTAAATCACTGGCCACTGGTGATTGGCTAGGTCTCCAACCCCTCTCTCCTCTACAGAGGTCAGGGGTGGGGCTGCTAATGTGCCTGGGAAAGCAGCAGAAGATGGCCCAAGTGCTTTGGTCCCTGCACTCTAATGGGAGACCTGGATGAAGCTCCTGGCCCCTGGCTGTTGTGGCCATCTGGGGAGTGAACCAGGGGATGGAAGATCATTCTCTCTCACTCTCCCCTCTTTCTTTCTCCGTAACTTTGACTTTCAAATAAGTAAATAAATCTTAAAAAAAAGAAAAAGAGAAAGAATGCAGTTGGTCTAGACTTGCAAGGCCAGGAGCTCATCCAGGTACCTAGGTTGCTTCCATTGAGTTACTCTGTCATCTCCGTGACGTCACTCCTCTTCAACATTGAAGCTGGGTTTCTGATGCACTTATAGTTGAGCTCATGATTCCACACAAGGTAGTATGTGGGCCAAGGGATTTCCTATGAAGTTACATGAACTTGCACACACTTATCCTTTCATAGTTTGTTCATGAGTACATGGTCACATGGCCTTCTCCCCCCATATGAAAGGTCACACAACCTAGGACTCAACCACCACTAAGAGGGAGAAGAGCTAATGGTCTCAGAAAGAGATTGAATTCTGGGGATTGTTAGGAGGTCTGGATCACAGTAGCTACATGAAAAAGTTTAAATTGAATCAATTTGGATCCTTTTATTTTGCTATGTTTCAAAGTAAATTTCGGATAGAGAATTATACCACACAGTAAGGATCCAAAAATGTTATTTTTACTACCACTTGCCAGGTACTATACTAAGTACCTTTTATGGGTTGTATTTAGTTTATAGAATGGCGCTATAAAAGTGCCCTCAGCTGGAAAGTCTCCAGTTGATAAACTGACAAAGGAAATAATCAAGGACAGGTCCGAGAACAGAAAATACGGATGGTTAGTGAGGACGTTTCACAAATTCAATTTTGTTGGTAATAAGAAATGTAAGAGGTTTTCAGAGTTCATGAAAAATGCATATTGTGAACAAATTATGCCTGGATTTCAAAAAAATTTCTGCACCAAACTAAACTTTCAATTCCAGCTGACCATGAACTTTCTGCAGTATCTTACTGTAAGCTTTAAAAATGAGAAGCCTGCAGTCCTATCAGCTGACGTTTTTTTAATAGTCATTGTGGGGCCAGTGCTGTGGCATAGTGGGTTAATGCCCTGGCCTGAAGCATATGGGCATGGTTCTAGTCCCGGCTGCACCTCTTCCAGCTCTCTACTATAGCCTGGGAAAGCAGTGGAGGGTGGTCCAAGTCCTTGGGCCCCTGCACCCGTGTCAGAGACCCAGAAGAAGCTCCTGGCTCCTGGCTTCGGATTGGCACAGCTCTGGCCAATGGGGACATCTGGGGAGTGAACCATCAGATGGAAGACTTCTCTCTCTCTCTGCCTCTCCTCTCTCTGTGTAACTCTGACTTTCAAATAAATAAATAAATCATTTTAAGAAAATAGTCATTGTATGAATTAAAAACCAATAAATAGCATTTCATAAGCACTTGGCAAATATTTTAATAAAAATATACAAGCTTATGTAGGATGGTCTTAGCACATAGAGTGCTGGAGCCTGTGTATGCTACAAGCTTTAACACATATTTATAGACTTTGTGATCCAGAAATTCTACTTTCAGGAATCTTAATTAGAAAATAATCAGAATGATAACAAACCATTACTTGTAAATACACACTATTTAATTGTCTAATAAAAGCAGAGTGACTGAGGGAACTCATATGTACAGAATATATTGCACACAATTTAATGTGTTTATAGTATTAACAACATAAGAATGTGTCTTTGATACAGTATTTTTTTTTTTGTACAGGTAGAGCTATAGAAAGAGAGAGAGGGAGGTCTTCCTTCCGTTGGTTCATTCCCCAAATGGCCGCTATGGCTGGTGCTGTGCCTATCTGAAGCCAGGAGCCAGGTGTTTTCTCCTGGTCTCCCATGCAGGTGCAGGGCCCAAGCACTTGGGCCATCCTCCACTGCCTTCCCGGGCCACAGCAGAGAGCTGGACTGGAAGGAGGAGTAACCGGGACTAGAACCCGGTGCCCATATGGCTTGCTGGCACCTCAGGCGGAGGATTAGCTAAGTGAGCGACAGCGCTGGCCCCTCTGATACAGTATTATATAGAAAGTGGGATATAAAGTTATAAGTTAGTATAAAGTGTTTTATTTTTGACAAGCATAGACAATATACTGGAAGTTAGGAATGTTAAGTGTATATAGGCATCCTCTGTTACTCTCGTACACTGCCTTTGCTTCTTTATTCATCCATCTGGTGGGGAAGGAAAATTAGTTTTTCCTCATCCATCCTGGTTGATGGCTGAAACATGTGTTTGATGAATGTCACGTGATGCAGGAGCCCTCACAGGAAAGGATGACCTATAGAAATGATCAAACCTGTGGGTTTTTATGTCGGGTCTGATGAAGAGTGGATAGCCTGGAGAAAGGTGACAGGACGAAGCGGGGATGATCTAATGGCAGCAAGCTGAGGGAAGCTTGGCGAGGCCTGTTTGCACAGATTCTTCTCTGTGAGCCTTCGTCTTCATAGGTAAGGGTGTTCTTTCCCACCCTGTGTAGGAAGGCCACCTCTTCCAGGAAGCCCTTCTGACTTGCTGCAGAGGACATCAGGAGGTGCTGCCTAGTTCTGTGACCTGCCTCTGGAGGGAATATGACAGTGACCGTCCTGCTAGTGTAGCCCCCTCAGATTCCTTCTGCTAAGAAACATCAGGACACCAGGATGCTGTATTTTTGTGAATCCCATCATCTCCCCTTAATAATCACAGACAGTTGCTCATTTTTATTCTCTCCGCCCATGAGCTAGTCATGTCTTACCAGTGTCTGTACAAAATGCATTATGGTGCCTGGCCCAGCATAGGTCAAAAGCAGCAATTGGGTGATCTATTCTAAATGTTTCATTTTTCATGATTGATTGGCAGTGCTTAAATAAGCAGAAGAATATGACAGATATTAGAAAAAGCTTGTTATGATAATGTTCTTTAGTTAAAGTTCTTTAGCAGTTCCCTTTGCTAGCGGGTAAGGGGAAGCATAAATGATACAGTCTAGATTTAGGTCAAAGTAGGAAAATTATTCTCTTTTTCTAAGGAGATGATGTCCATCCTCTTTCCCCATTGCCCTCTGTGGGATTCGGCTGTGGAAAGGGTCTGGGCTAGCTTTTCCATGTACGGCTAGAATCAGACGCAGCCGCCGTGTCCTGTGCACTGCCTAGCTTGAGGTGCTGAGTCGGCTCAGCTGCAGGTGCTGGCTGGCTGTAGACACACAGGGAGATTAGTGATGGAGGGTTCTATGGTATTGAGGTAGGGGCTGGGTTTCCCTTCTCCTCCCATCCATACTCTTTAATGCATAACTTTACCATGCTTTTGGTGGTGGTACAATTTAAATCTTTTTTTTTTTTTAACAGGCAGAGTAGACAGTGAGAGAGAGAGAGAGAGACAGAGAAAGGTCTTCCTTTGCCGTTGGTTCACCCTCCAATGACCGCTGTGGCCGGTGCACCACGCTGATCTGATGGCAGGAGCCAGGTACTTCTCCTGGTCTCCCATGGGGTGCAGGGCCCAAGCACTTGGGCCATCCTCCACTGCACTCCTGGCCACAGCAGAGAGCTGGCCTGGAAGAGGGGCAACCAGGACAGAATCCAGTGCCCCGACCGGGACTAGAACCCGGTGTGCCAGCACCGCTAGGTGGAGGATTAGCCTATTGAGCTGTGGCGCAGGCCACAATTTAAATCTTTTAAAATGGGGTTAAATGAAAATTCATAAGTAATATTTATTAGCTTTAAGTACCCCATACCTCTTAAAAAATTTTTTTTGACAGAAAATGAAATAAAAATAGGATAGTTTCCTTCTGCATTGTCTGGAATGGATCTTTTAGTTTTCCATTGAAATATTTGTGAATTGTCAAATCTATCAGATTTCCTAAAAACACAGCATTTGAGTTATTGAAAGGGTGACTACAGGTTAATTTTCCAGAATGCAAATCGCCTCTGTAGCACTGTGGATATCTGGAAGTGTGGTGTTCATGTTTGCCATCAGTGTATGTGAATAAGATACTTCAAGAGGTGTTAGAGGGTAGGAAGTACCAGCTACATAGAATAGAGCGTTTTCGTGTAAAGCAATTCTTCTAGGATGAGGGTGCAGGGAAGAAAATGTCTGTAGAATTTAGCTGGTTTCTGCCGGACAAGTGGTAGAGAAGCTGCTTTAGAGAAATGAGATGTGTACCGCAGATTTAACCCCAACGTGACTGTGAAACTTGTCTTTGGAGAGCAGTGGTGCCAAGGGAGCAAGTTCTTGCTTTGCGCACTCCTGGTCCTGTTCAGGGGCTGCCAGGTGATCTGCACTGTTCTGGGCTGCAGAAGCCTGTGTGTGGTATTCAGCAAGTCAGGTTTAAGAAAAAGATGTCAGCGAATTAAGACCCGAGTCACATGACTCCCTCCACTTGCCAACACGGACGCTCCGGATCAGATTTCAACTCCAGGCAGCCCTCCCAGCCATGTGGCTTTAGCCGAGTAAGAAGCAAACCACACTTCCTAAAATGTTAGGATCCACTCTTCCCCGACCCACCGCGGGGCCTTTGGATCGGGGGCTGGTTTTCAGATCGGAGCATTCCCAGTGAATGGGATTTTAGTGTGTTGCTGTCATTTGATTGTGTTCATCTGGTCTTCATCAGCTCTGGCAGGCGCTTGCAGAGAGAATGGGGGCAGGAGCTCTGGCCATCTGTGTAAGTACAGGCCTTCTGCGGGCTGGGCTGCTCTGGGGCCTGCCGGTCCGGCGGCAGCTGCTGCTCCCTAGGCTTCCGTGAGATGTTTGTGTGACTTTGTTCTGCCTTCCCAGGAGGACGAGCAAGACTTGTTGCTTCCACTCCTGTCTATTCCAGACGGGTATAAGCGATGTTTGGGGTAGCACCCAGCATTTTTAGCCACTTCCGTTTCCAAAAAAGGTGAAGGAAGATGCATGCGGAGTGTGTCTCCTTAACTCCGGGCACTCCCAAGTGTTTGACTTTTTGGTTCCTAAAGAGTTAAAAGGGAAAGCCTACTCATAGTTATTGGAAAAATCTTGTGGCTAGCTTGAGAAAGAATTAAAATAGCCTTTCATTTATGGCCTCAGACGTGCGTATGACAGTTTTCTGTCTCACACTCCTGTTTTCATGTAGCAATTCTGGAATTTTTGTTTCTGCATGGTTGCTGAAAATGGTGGTGGAAAAGCATGGCAGATAAATGTTTGTGAATCCTGAATCAGCTACAGAAACTGATGGTTGTGATAGTACAGTGGCATCGATAAATAACTCTGATAGAAAATCCATGGGAAAATGCGTGTTTTGGGCTGAACTTTGTGAATTTCTACAGAATTCTAGTGCTTATTTAAAACCTTTTGCAATAATCAGATATTGTCATTTGTATTATACAATGCTGAAATTAACATTATTTTAGTATTTAGAAAATTCATATATGTAAATCACAATTATATTGCAAGTTAATACTGTATTCCAAAAAGGCATTTTATTTGTGCCTAGAAGTAATAAATGAGATATATTTGTTATTGTCTATCACCTTAACTGCTCACTTTTTAAAGAAAAACAAAGCTTACATTCAGGTCAGATCCACTTTATTTGTCTGAAGTTTCAGAAGGAGCTGAAATTTGTCGTAGGCTGTGGTAGCATCCTGAAATAGCTGGGCAGCCTGTGATTTGTAGACCCTGAGCTGTCCCTGATGGTGGACCCTCCCCCATGGACTGAATAATTTCAGTTAAGCTACGGGGAGACTGAGCTACATGTGTGCTGATCTGTTTTTTTTTCCTTTTAGTCCAACGGTTTGTAGTGGCCAGGTATCCAAGTGTTGTGGTTTTTTTTTTTTTTTTTTTTTTAATAATTCAACAGAGTTTTTCCTTCAAAGCCTACTTAGTCTACATATAAAATACTGACTTTCATTTCACTCCAGAGATATCTTCCTTTTATTTATTTTTGTTTAAGATTTTGCGAGTTAGAGAGGGAGAGATTTTCCATATGCTGGCTCACACCCCAGATGGCTTCAATGGCCAGGACTGGGCCAGCCCAAAGCCAGGAGCCAGGAGCTTCTTCTGGGTCTCCCATGTGGGTAGCAGGGGCCTAAATACTTGGGCTGTCTTCCACTGCTTTCCCAGCCCATTAGCAGAGAGCTGGATCAGAAATGGAGCAGCCAGAACACCACTGGTGCCCATATGGGATGCCAGTGTCACAGGCAGAGGCTTTACCCACTAGCCACAATGCCAGCCCTAAAGATAAGTCTTCCATTCTGTGACCTCTTTTTTTTTTTCCCCAAAGATTTATTTTATTTGAAAAGCAGAGCTACAGAGAAAGATCCTCCATCCACTGGTCCACTCCACAAATGGCCACAATAGCTGGGGCTGGGCCAAGCCAAAAGCCAGGAGCTAGGAATTTTATCTGGGTCTCCCACTGGGTGCAGGGGCACAAGCACTTGGGCCATCCTCTACTGCTTTCCCAGGCACATTAGCAGGGAGCTGGATCAGAAGTGGAGCAGCCGGGACTTGAACCGGTGCCCATATGGGATGCCAGTGCTGCAGGTGGTGGCTTATCCCACTGTGCTACAATGTCAGCTGTCCTCTGACCTTTTATATACTTTAGACCTGAGATGTGTAGAATGAGCTAGCACATCGGACTTCATTCTCATGTGGATGTGTAGTCCTTTGTGATTGGAAACTTACTTCTTGAGGCCAATGTTGTAGCATAGCGGGTGGGGCCGCTGCCTGAGGAGTGGCATCCCGGGTGGGTGCTGGTTTGTGTGCTTGCTGCTCCGCTGCTGATCCGACTCTCTGCTGTGGCCTGGGGTGGGGGTAGGGGGTGGAGATTGGCCCTGGTGCTTAAACACCTGCACAGGAGACCCGAGGGCCGCTCCTGGCTCCTGGCTTTGGATTGGCCCGGCTCTAGCCATTACAGCTCTTTGAGGGATGAACCAGTGGATGGAGGCTTCTCTCTTTGTCTCTGTCTCTCTCTCTGCCTCTGCCTCTCTGTAACTCTGCCTTTCAAATAAATAAATAAGAAACTTACTTCTTGTCCTTAGTCTGCAATATAGTGCTCTCTACTTTGACTGAAATGCCTTCTGACCCACATATGAAAGTCTATATTTTTCCTTAATTTATATCCAAATCTTTGTACAAAATTTAATTTGTGGCTGGCATAGCAATCACACAGTTTAAGGCATCATTCACTCTGGTAGCTGAGTAACTCTCAATCATTCCTACCTGCCAACTTAAGATTAGCCTTGGAGTGGGCTGTGTCTCAGTCTTACTGTAGAGCAAATATTGTTTTCAGGAATTGTACCATAAAATGTCAAGAAGATACTAGCTCTTGGAAAACAATTCTTTTTTCTTAGTGCTTGTTGCTTGAAATTGTAAACACAATCACATTATAATTTACACATAGACTGTTGTACTGATTTTTAGATTGGGAGTGAGTGAACACATATCATATACATAGTAACTGTTCAAGTATCATTCTACAAAAAACTCATTCTTTTTCTTTAACTTTTATTTAGTAAATATAAATTTCCAAAGTACAGTTTATGTATTACAATGGCTTTCCCCCCCCATAACTTCCCTCCCACCTGCAACCCTCCCATATCCCACTCCCTCTCCCATTCCATACACATCAAGATTCATTTTCAATTCTCTTTATATACAGAAGATCAATTTAGTAAAGATCAATTAAGTAAAGATTTCATCAGTTTGCACCCACACAGAACACAAAGTTTAAAATACTGTTTCAGTACTAGTTATAGCATTAATTCACATTGGACAACACATTAAGGACAGAGATCCTACATGGGGAGTAAGTGCACAGTGACTCCTGTTGTTGATTTAACAAATTGACACTCTTGTTAAAGGCGTCAGTAATCACCCTAGGCTCTTGTCATGAGTTGCCAAGGCTATGGAAGCCTTTTGAGTTCACCGAGTCCGATCTTACTTAGACAAGGTCATAGTCAAAGTGAAAGTTCTCTCCTCCCTTCAGAGAAAGGTACCTCCTTCTTTGGCCCGTTCTTTCTACTAGGATCTCACTTGCAGAGATCTTTCATTTAGGTTTGTTTGTTTGTTTGTTTGTTTTTGCCAAAGTGTCTTGGCTTTCCATGCCTAAAATACTCTCATGGGCTCTTCAGCCAGATCCAAATGCCTTTAGGGCTGATTCTGAGGCCAGGGTGTTGTTTAGGACATCTGCCATTCTATGAGTCTCCTGAAACAACACTCATTCTTTAGACAGAATAATAGAGTACCAGATATTCATACTGTGTGTAAGAATGTATGTGAATGGGTGTGTGTTTATAGACTTAAAAAATGTTTTCCTATAGTGTCTCACTTGTTACTTTTGATTTACTTATTTATTTGAGAGGTAGGCAGACAGAGCTCCTATCCACTGGTTCACACCCCACTGCCCACAATGGCCAGTGCAGGGCTGAGCCAAAGCCAGGGACCACAGACTCAGTCTCCCATGTAGATGTAGGAACCCGATTACGGGACCTATCACTGCTGCTTCCCAGAGTCCGGGACTCATTCCCTTTCTATACTAAGTTTCTACTCACTAATTGACTTTTTCTTCCTCATTCCTTTTATTTCACTCTCCCATGCTGGTAGTGTTTTGGAATGTTGCTGCTAGGGAAACTGTAGTGCCCTCACACATTTTCTTATATATACTCATATGTACAAAGAAAACTTAGTTGCTTTGCTGCTAAATTTGTTTTTCCTCAGTAAGCCACCACCCAGGCGGAGTGAGAAGTCATCCTTGCCAGTTAATGTTATCTTATTTTCTAGTTTAAACGTCACTTTTGGGTGACTCTGGTTCTCTCGGGTGAATGCTGAGTTTTGGGTTTCCTCCCCTCTACTGGTCTGGCCGAGGCAGCATGTGGGCCTAGAAGGAGTGATGGGCTCAGAATGGAAGTTTGCAATTCTAGTATATGAAGAAAGAGGGGTGCTAGAAAGCCTGTGTGTGGGTTCTCTGAACCTTGAGACTGACTTGCAGGTTAGCTCAAGTATCAAATCTGGTGAATTTGCCCATCAGTTCTCTTGGTATTATCAGGGCCTGGCAGCCCATTCTTTCCTATGTATGTCTAACTCTTGTTGCAGATAATTCCAGGAGTATCCTGAATCTATTTTTTTTTTAAAGAAAGATTTATTTATTTATTTGAAAGGGAGGGAGAGTCAGATTTTCCATCCACTGGTTCATTTTCCAGATGGCTGCAACAGCCAGCACTGGGCCAGGATGAAGCCAGGAGCCAGGAGCTTCATCCAGGTTTCCCACATGAGTGGCAGGGATCCAAACACTTGGGCCATCTCCTGCTTTCTCTGGTGCATTATCAAAGAGCTGGATTGGAAGTAGAGCAGCTGGGACTCCAACCAGTGCCCATATGGGATGCCGGCCCTGCAGGCGGAGGCTTAGTCCACTGTGCCACAGTGCTGGCCCCAGAACACCAGAGTTGAAGGTTCGTAGGATGCACAGCAGACACAGTGTGTCTGGAACCAACAAGGCTTGCTCAGTTTTCCGTGGCTAGTAGGCATGGTTATCATTGTAACTTACCATTGTTGTGAACAGCTGTAAGGGGCAATTTTGATGAGGGCTCAGGAAGAAGGCGAGCTGTAGAGCAAACCTCAATCTTCTAAGAGATTGTTCTAGGTGATCCTGAGCAGATGTTGGCAGGAGTGTGGATAGTAAAGGTGCTCTGATGAGAACTCAGATGG